GGGGGGGGGGGGGGGGGGGGAAGAAGAAATACAATATTTGAAACTAGTTGAGGAAATATTTCTTTGATCTATATCTGAATTACTAAAAAAGTCTTTGGTTTCTACTGGCTTTCTAAGTCAAAATCGAGAAGAATTAAGAGTTTCTAGGAAAAAATTCTTCATAGATCAAAATTGATTTTAATGTGAACGATACTTTGCTCAATATTAGAAATAAATAATTGTTAATTGTTTAGTATTTTAGAAATAAGTAGTTTCAGAAAGGAAAAGAAAGATTTGTAGATGAGCTCTGCTTTTGTTCAATTTCAGAGTTCTGCAGAAGGCAAAGACACTGATAATGTGAAATTTCAAGATCAAAACTGTTTTCCAGGATAATATGTGCCGGGTGAATAGGATTAGAGGTGATAGGGAGCATAGCAATTCTGACAAAAATAATCAGATTCCAGAACTAGAAAGATTTTTCATTATTTTATTTTATAGTTTTATGGGTTTTTTTTCATTTTTGTGTTTTTCTCTTCTGCCCTATTATTTGCCCTTTACCAAGATTAACAGCAAAATAATGCCACTTACTGAGCCAGATGAATGGATTATAAAGTAAGTAAAGAAGAATCGCTAATTTATTTCATGAGTAACTTTTAGGGCACCATAACTTTGGGGTGAAATACTGGTGGTAACAACCTCAAAAATTCAGTTTTTTCCTGTGGTTTTTCATATAGTAGAGCATTTGAAACTGTCTTCAGTGACAGCATAAAAGAACCTTAGCTTCAAAGTTGGTATTTTGCCTGATTGCTTCAATTTGGTTTTTCAGCCTTTTCAGGATTTCTCTGTTCTCTTATTTTACTAACCTAGATGAAACCTGATTTCCTAGCTTTTTTTTGAGGAACAAATGTAGAAATAACAATGTGTTCAGATAGAAATCCCATATTTGTAATATAAATTTACTGCTATGTGCTTACATCAACACCTCCATTCCTCCCCCCTTTTTAGCAGATAATAGTGCTCAGGCATCAGCATCTTTCTGAGAGGAATGTGCTGTTTAGCATAGTGTTAAGAGTTTGATAAATGTTAACACAACATGAGATTCTCTTTATTCTAAATTCAGGTTAAAATGTGCAAATAATTTCAAATGTTATTCTACTATTAGTGTATCTAAGAAAATATATTTTGCATTTATATGAGATAATTAAAGATGTTTATGTACAAAAAAATACAGGGGCTTTTTCTTTTTTAGTTTAAGACCTAACTCTATTCAAAATTTAATGTTTAATTTAACATTTTAATTGAAAATTAATAAAAAGAAGAAGGATACATAAATATTTTAGTATGAATTTACCTGTTTTCTCCCAGATTAGCAGATGAAAACTCTGTCTGAATGAAGATATGAAGGAGTTTTTTATGTTCTTAAGTTTCATATATAATGCAAAGAAGAAACACAGTGCTTGATTCTTCTGTTTTCCAGGACTTACCTGATGGGTCTTTTGTAAGGCTTAACGAGGTATAAAAGTTTTTGGGCAACTAAAAGAGGCAAGCCTTTTACATCTCTAAGTCATTATGTGATAGAGAATAATCAAAGAACGGTGAACATTCTCGATGTACTGCAGAGCTCTTCTGACACTGAGAATTGTTACATCTATTTGAAGAGCACATCCCTGTTGCCCTGAATTTTACAGGAAAATGTCTTTAGGTTTTTTGTTTGTTTGTTTACTTTTATTGGTGTTTTGTTTGGTTGATTTGTTTTAATATGGATCTCCATATAATTTTTCCTGACCTCACTATATTGTATTTTCTTTTATTTATGATGTCACTTAAGTAGTGGTTTTAAGACCTTACCTGGATTCCTTCTTTTTCTTTTCTTTCTTACTTTGGGGATGATTTTAATGTATGCCTTAAGCATATCACACTAGACAAAGTTAACGTGAATCTCTCAAAGCTCACAAAGCCCCATGGTAAATATGCCTTTTTGCAATCAGAAGATGAATGTTTTACAAAGGACAGAAGATCAGAACTAAACTGCTGTAAAATGTGAAGCAATGTGATGGTGATTTTCTTTTGTGGGAAAATATGCAAATTTTCAAAAAAGTGGATGGACATATGTGCAGGCAAAGATTTCACATATATATCAAAACTCTAGCAAACACTGAGACTCAATTTTAACAAAAGTAATTGAATTAGTAAGGAACTTTTCACCTGCACATTTTTGAAAAACAATTGTTATGATGGTGTCTGACATGAATAGACTTATCTTTTAGATCAAAGTCACAAGGAAAGAGCCCACAGGACTCCTCAGACTGAAGTCTGTCCTAATTATTTGAGATATGGAAAAACTAGTCACTGCACTGTCTCAGGCAGAGCACTGAATGCGTCTCTCTCATGAGGAAGAAGGGAGTTCCAGCTAGGGAGGAGGCACATCATCCTGCCACATTCGTTATTCCACTGCACACAACTTGCAAACAAACTAAAATAATGGGGTTGGTTTTGTTTTTCTACCCTATTTAAAAAAAACCAAACCAAACCAAAGTGTAAAATCACAACACTATCACAAAAAAAAAAAAAAAAAAAGGAAAAATAAAAGACCAAAGAAGTAGGTATTCTGGTTAGTCCTAACAAACAGACAGCTTCATTTAAATGCACCCAAAGTGTGGTTTAATTTTACTTTGTTATTATAGCTTGTGATGTGATTTGATAAGCGCAGTTTCCTCCACTGTTCACTTCTTTCAATGCAGGACTCGATTAAGTGATTCTTATCAGGTACTGTAGGCACATCAACCAACAGGGGTCACATTTACATGCTCTACTGGAACAGAACTTTTAGTTGTTAAGTGCTCTAATAGTTCAGAACCTGCTGTGAAACATATGTGAAGAAACATTAGCCACCTACATGTGCTAGGAATGTAAGGAAGACTGAAAGGCTGTTGTACAAACTGGCAAAATAATTGAAACTTAATGAGGAATTTCTCCAGGCAGAAAATGACCTCTTCTTGCAATGTCACTGAATTTCCAGTCTTCATCAGATGGCTTGAAAAATGAAAGTAAAAAGTAAAAAGTAAAAGCACAAAGAGCAACTCAATCTTACTGAGCAGTATTTTTTACTGAGTATTGATTATCTTTAGGTGTGGGTTATTACGCTGTTTCAGTGTAAAATAATCAAAGCAGCTTTCACTGAGCTGACTTGGAATTTTGTTTTTCCAATAAGGCAGAGACAGAAAATTCTATTTTTGCGTAGAAAAATGTCCTTTTTATGAGAAGTGAGACAAGTTAAAAGAAATCCTGCAGCTTTTTTTGTAAAACAAACTATTGAATTCAAGCTCATTTGGAGAGGCATGCATACATTGTAGCCTCTGGTGCTCCCACTGGATGAATTTATCTTGACCATTGACTGGCAACAAGACCTAACTTGGCTGAAGCGTATACTGTATTGGTTAAAATTTTATTACCAAAAGTGAAATTATTGGAATGCACTGCATCAGTTTTAAGTTGCATGATTTTTTCTCAAAGTCTGGTTAACAAGTTTTATGCTGTAATCTACACATGACCACATTCCTTTTTAAGACATGTCACTCATTTAAATCTATGTCAGGCTTAAAAAGAACTTATGGACCTTATTATTGAGTCATTTAAAATGTAAGATGAAGTATGCATTAAAGTAAGCATAATCTTGGAGCTGTCAACTTGTTTAGTTTTTCTGTATATTGTAATGCATTTTATACAAGAAAACTGCAATTGATCATGCATTACATATGTACTAGGCAATTATTAGCTCAGCTAAAATTTGTGTAAGGAAGTTGGAATTTTTATCGTGTCAATATATTTCTAAGCCCATTTTTCATTGAAATTTCACCAGTTCAGTTATTTTTCAAAAATCCTGAAAGTAAAATTTCATTTGATAGCTGGTATAGAATGTTTTATTTCTGCTAGCATGGAGTAAAAATATATGTAAACATCAGAGGTTTGATATCAGACTTAACTGGAGAACGCATGCTTTGGGCAAACAGCAATATTTCCTTCTGTCACAAAACATCTGCTGAAGAAGACCAAATCCAACTCTTGTCTGGCTTTCAGCAAAACATCAAAGAGAAGAATGGAATGTTACTCTTAGGGAGTAGGTAGAGGGTGAAAAACATTTCCAGAAAATGGTACATGGTGTATATTTTTGGGGTATTACAGAATTTATCTCAGTGACTTGGACACAATGTTAATCGCCTTCCATTATTATACTGACCTTCCTTGTCTCATAGTAAGTGATGGGAGAAAGAGAGAGGCAGGAAGAGTCAAAGCTGAAGGAACCCATATTCAGTTTCCTTTCTTAATCTGCCTCATTTCTGTCTTTTGCCATGTTATGAATAAGGATATTATCCATCACATGGAAACATATTATTATAGTGTATAAGACAACAGTGGTTTTTGCACTCATTGAGTCTGCATAATCTTCGGAAACCTTCATTTGATTTTACAGTTGATATAGAAATATGTGTGAAAAACTCTGGTAAAAGAGAAGTCTTAAATAGTCTACAAGACTTCTGCAGTTTCACCCTCTGGGCTTGGGGAATTCAAACATTATTTCAGTGGGTAATCTGAATTAAATGTGCTTTTTGTACTTCATTTGTCTTTAAAAACATAATTGGTTAAAGATTTCAAAGAGGTTATTGCTCCAGAGTGGTGAATAGCTCTTCTGTCTGGTCTTAATAAGTAATTATCAGGGAAAGTACTGTTGTTGATTTGCATATTTATGTAAAGTGGTCTATGGAAAGGTTTTGCTCAGGATTGCCATAGCAGGAGAAGAAGAGTTCTACCCAGTTCTAGAGTAAAAGATTTGTTAAGATGACAGATATGAGCAGATAAACTGTCTATACATAATCAAAGATGACAGGCCTGAAACTGAAATAAACTAAATATCAACAATCTCAGAAACAAAATGAGGCTGGGAAGATTAGAATCTAAATGAAACCTGGAATAAATCACAAACAAGGCTGTGAGTATAAAGAATTACATTCTTTCCCAGCCAGATGCTCTCTTTAGTGATAACAGACTTGGTATTGAAGAGGTACAAAAAACTTACTCCAGTTATTTATCTACAGATTCTCATCTGGATAAAACAAGAGGCGAGAGGTTGTTTTGCATTTGACATTGGGGTAAACAGAGAAAATTATTTTCTCCTCTTTTATGTCATCTGTACATTTAAAAATCTTTGTAACTGGATATGGCAAGTAGTTTTAATTTGCTTTTACCTTAACCTGTCTTCTTACAAGTAATTATAAAGTAATTGGTTAACATTAAAGCAATATATCTCTTTTAGATATCCTTCGACAGAAAGCCAGAATACAGGAGCATGCTGGAACATCATAGAGCTCCAAAATATTGTCTCAGGTAAGCTTAAGGGCAGTAGAATATACCTGCAGCTACTATGTGGTTTGGAAGACAGGAACACAGTCTTCGTTCTTGAAGAGCTTCTGATGACTGCTGCTAACTGCCATGACACTCATTCTCTGACTGATGGCAGACAATGATGAGCATTCGACACCTGAGTTTTCCTGGGGAGCTTGTGAAGCACTGCTTTAGTAGGAGACCTCATAAAGTCTCAATTTGCTCCTTCACAAGAACATTCATGAAGCAGGAATAAAAAGTGGACCACATCTGTGAGCAGCAAGTTAAATTTTGAAACAGAGAATTATACTTCCTTTGGCAGGAATTAAGTATTCAGAATTCAGACATTTAGTGTTTCATACTAAAAAGCAATTAAAAGTATAGTATAATAAAATAAACTATTAATATTAAAAACAAATAAATTACTATCCACCAAATTACTGTTCAGAAATATATGCTTTGTGTATCCATAATCTATCATCCTCCGTTTTTCAGGCTGGTGACTCCTGATAACTTTAATTTACTTTTAACTGGAAAACCAAAGATTGCTTCTGAACAGTTTATTAAACTAGGGAGGAAAATACAAAAAGAACACTAAATAATAGCAACTTTTATTTATGGACAACTGTCCCAGTGGACACAAAGTCTTGACTTTCTAGCTTGGTTTCCTTCTGGCTTCATGAAACTTCAGAGACAGAAGTGCTCAGTACAGAGAGCAGTTAGTTTTACCAGAAAGAACCTCAGATAAATTCATTGCACCTTCCTTCAAGTTGCTGTTGGAAATATATTGAGTTCAGGAGAACAGTAGGTTTTTTAAAACTGTATAGAAAATCCATATGTGTTAAAGTCACAAAGATCACATTTGCTTTCTGTGAGGACATAGCCAAAAAAGCCAAACAACAAAAAACAACCAAACAAAAATCCCCTTAAAGAAAAGAGTTGATTACAGACTTTGGTACATGTCTAGAATATTGTCATTGTACTGAATACCTTCTTTCATAAGTCTACTAACAGTTACACTCTTAAGTCATTCATACGGGAAATGCACATCTTTTCCTTTCAAAATTACTCCGCTATTGATGTCAGTTGTAAACTGAACTAAAACAGCTGCATATCTCAATTTCAGTATATTAATAAAAATTAAGATCTATTCTCCTTTCCCAAGATTTGCTTCAGCTAATTATTTTTGCTTTCAATATTTTCTAAGGTGTAAAGCAGAATCTGATGATTGCAAGTAGAGCAGACCTTACACACATGTTAAGGATTGCTTTCATTTCTTTCCTGTTAATCCCATTCCATAAGCTATTGCCAATGTATATTTTTCACTTTTCATTTCAGTCTTCATCTCCATAGCATTTAACATTTATGTGGCCTCCTAGACAGACATGGGAGTATTGTACATGTATTATGCTTTTGAGTAATGTCACTGATACATTATGGAAAAGCAAAGGATAGATTTCTTATGCTATTTATCTAAGCTTACTATGCTTTTGGTATCTAAATAAGAATCGTTCAGAGGTCAACAGGTTACTAAAACTTGTGAAGAGAAATTGTCTACTTTTTATATGCATACTTATATACATAGGCATACATATATTCACACATATACATATATCAATTATATTTAGGAAGGATATATAGTCACAAGTCAAGGATCCTTGGTTTTTTGTGAAACCTTGGAAGGCAGAGACTTTCCTAGTATCCTAGTTTCTGTTAAATGCAGAGTGAAAGCCTCAGAAGAAAAATGGTCTGATGCTCCTCTGCTGTGCAAAATCCCTTCCTGTCCAGAGAGTAAGGCTTTAGCCTTTTGTAAAGCTAATTGACTCCCTTCCCCCAACTCACTCCATTTTTTTTTTCCTTACAGTGGAGCAGAGGAAGAAAAATTCCCCTATGGGATTTTATAACCTATAACAATTAATAAGCTCAGCCTCTTGATCGCCATGGCCAAGACTGCCAACCTACTCACACATATCCCATGAATCCTTCTCTGTTCACAGATGAGTCTTGCAGTCTTCCAATGTCTCCTTCCATTAGTGGGAAGAATGAGGAAAACACTACTTGTGTTCCCTAATCATTTATTCCAAGGCCCTGGAGTCTCTTTTGATTGACCTTAGATTTCTTATTGCAACATAATCTGTACCCATGTGAAAGAGCAGGAGTTTATGAGTTGTCTGGTGACACCCCTGATTCAGGCCCCAGGGAGTCTGCAAACTTCCCTGGAAAGGTGATCCAATCTGCAGGTGGATGCCTTCATTCTGCTGAGGAGGGAATCACTGATGATCATAACTTGACATTTCTTCTCAGTGTTAGTCTTAATGCAGCTCTTGACTCAAGAGATTGATTGATCTGGCCTCAGTGAGAATGCACAGATTTCTCCTTTTCTATTTGGTCATGTCCTTCATCTACCATTCACAGAACCTGATACCTATTCTGTAAAGGTACCTGAGAGGGTAAGCAGATGTTCCTCTTACAACTCCAATATTAATTTGCTTCTCTCCTTATCCCTTGTAATACCATCTTAATCTTAACACAAAACAGACACTGGATTTACCCTACCCATATAGAGTTGATTTGTGTGTAACAGAAATGTCAGACCATTGGTTCACCTCCTTCTCAGACTCTGAAAGGCTCATCAGTCTGCTCTCCTCTTCCCAAAGCTCAATCATCAAGCAGAACAGTTCATTTGCCTGATTACACGTCCCAGAGGCGTGCTTCATGTCATCCTTTATCTTCAGGCATATCCTGTGCAGCCTGAAACCTAAGTGGTTGCATGTCCTGACAGTGCTTTGTCTGTGTGTCTGCATTGGTTCTACTGCGTGCTAGAAGCTCTGGAGAAGCAGAGGACATGACTTTTTGCTGATGGTCACCATGTTGCCACATTCCTGCCTACTGGGAGATACACAATATATGCATCTACCGAAGCTGACTGGGCTGATTTTTTAATCCTGTATACATCACCTGCACTGATGGGTGCAGGCTGGGTTCTTTGCTGACTCGTACAATAAATGAGTCTGGTCTGAGCTGCTCAGGGAAAAATCCCTGCTCAGATGAAGCCTCTCCATGTCCTTATGTATCCCTCGTGTCCCTTACTGCTTCCTTCTGTCACTGACGCCACTTATGCTGCTCACACTGCTCCAGTGTCCCTTGCAATTTGGTGAAGCATCGCGTGAAAAGAACTTTAAAGTATGTGTTTTAGTTGGTAAAAAAGGCAAATGTTAATATTGAAATGTCTGTGATAGAAGGCACTATATAAAATTTCAAAGATGTTGATATTAATCAACATGTAACATAATGACATTAAACATATAACCATTACTTACTGCTGAGCAACAACTTAAAATGAGCTTTATTTTCCAGAATATGGGATAAATCCTTCTCACACAAGAATTGATTCTCATATCTCTTTTCCTGTTATTTTTAAAAGAGAATGAACACAAAGATATGTGAAATTTTGGCTGCCACACAGTGTGACAAGACCATTCACTATCAGAAAAGCAGAATAAACCATTAGTGGTTTTCTTGAATGGGCCTTGTCTCAAATTGTGAAGAGATGATTTGTGGACAAAATATCAGAAATACACTTTTAGGAAAAAAGCATAATAATTTTGTAAATAATTAGATTCTCTTAATTGTAATAGTTATTTTTTCATCTTTAGTGTAGAGTCTTTTTTAAATGTAGAACTAAAGAAGCTTTTCTGTTAAAAGAAAGCAACATTATCTATAGGCCACGCAAGTCCTTCTTGACTCCTGTGGACTTTGAGCAGTTTTGGTCAGAGGTCAGGGCACAACTATTCATTTTTTATTTAACACTTTGTATTGCAGTTTTTTGTTTTAAATAACTGAGTTGAATTTACAGCATGGTTTGAAGACATGAAGGGGCATTTCTGACTGCTGCATGAGATAAAAGAAGTTATTGTTGGAATTTAGTAATTATTATTGTCTTTCTTCTTCCAGACACATGTGAAACACTGTGTAGAAGTCTGTGAGGATGGGTACTATAATGGCAAATTAGGACATGTTTTTATTATCACTGCTGAGCAACTAGTATTGTTACTGCCCATGAAATAAAGGAGACAGCTTATCACAGAATGCTGAATGATAAAGTTATGCAACAATTAACATAAGGCAGGACTGAAATGAGACAACATGACATACACTTTTGTATAATACAGTCAGCAAGAAAATAGAACAAGAAAATTACCCCATAATATGTCATAGCTTCCACCTTTCATAACATGTGAGTTTGCATATCTCTCTGTCATCTCCTTTTGCATCACACTCTCTTTTGATCAATTATACAGGCGAAGAGATCAATTAGATATGCAAACTTGAACTGGAAAAAAAATGCAAGCGCAGGAATGAAATATTGACCTATATCTACTTGCCAGTAGATTAACAACATGTTATAACTAATTTATTTTTTTTAAATCTAAAAAGAGACTGTCGGCAAGCTTCCAAGGCCCATAGGCAGTGCAGCTTATGGCAAGATTTTTGCCACTCAGGATGTTGCTCTTGCTGCCCATCAATCCCTGAGACACTTTCTGTTCTGTTTTATTCTCAGATTGACCGAAATTGCATTAGACAGAAGAACAGATTGCTGTGTATATAGTTTACAAATATAGCTGTAAGATAATCTCCAAAGGCATGTTAGATTGAATAAGTAATTTTTTGTGCCAATATTTTCATTATTACAGGTTATTCTAATTTCATCTTTCAGGAAGATTGAAACTGAACTCTTGAAAAAAAACAACTATATGGAAATCCATCAAGAAGGCAATGTATAATGATAAATTCAATTTTCTTTCTGAAGGGATAAACTCTGTGCTATATCAGCTGTACTTTACACATTGTATATTTCCATTAATTTACAAAGTTTTACAACTGTGAGCTGACCAAAAAAAAAAAAAGTAAAAAACTAAAACAACAAACCAAAAGATATGAGTGTAACTAGCAAATTACAATAATTAATGTGGGGAAGATGTGATCTTACTTTTCTCTGTATT